AAACAAGCATTCAAAACTACCCGAGCAAGTTAAGCCGTCGATATTCTGTACTGTGATAGCAGTTATTAGTGTTACATAAATGTTAAATTTGTGTTTGGCTAGAATGTCGTTATAGTTTCGAACGCATTCCAAACTGCCATAGAACATCAGGCTTAGAAACTGAAGAATATCTCAATACTTCTTTAAATGATTCGAGGAATTACAAGGCATGATATATGGGGAAATATAACATCTATAAACGGACATTTCGGATCAAGCACCGACTGACTGTGTTTTTCATGTAACCTCCATCAAGAAAAATTCAGACATAGTACCAAAATTACGTTCAGCCACTCTTACTATCCTCAAAGTTCGGGAGACATCAAATGAGTATGGTAACATTGAATTCCACCGTACTTTCCTTCATCTTCCATTTCTCAAAATGAATCTCGTGAGGCCATTCTACTTCTGGTGAGCAAAACAACTAATGCTTCGTAGGCAGCTCCGTGAATCCAAAAATAAAATCAGAAGAAAAATTACAACCGAGGGCCTCGGAGCAAGACATTTCACCGACACCACAGGTCAAAATTTTGCCGCCAGCTACTTGGGCGAAGGAGTTGGAAATTCCTCAACGAACTTTCGTGAGCATAATTTTCTGGAGAACTTGCGTCACATAGTAGCCCACCCAAGCAGTATACGAGAAAGAAAAAACGGCTTTCGAAGCTGTTTTTCTGCCGTAATTCAAATTCTCCAAGTCTGTAATTCGAAATTTTAGAATACGTACACGGCATCCAGCAGATCGATATACAGTATCGCACAGACCTTGCCCTGAATACTTGATGTTGAAGTTTTTTCGAAACGGGCTACATTATAAGCTTTTCACCTTCTGGAAAAATATCAAAATTGCAGCCCGTTGCCGTAAAATATACTTGAATTGTATTTAAAATCATTTTTCGGGAGGTCGCTTCTCTCATGGATGTATACGAAGTAAAAAGTACATGAAAATCGGAGGTGATTAGCGTCAATGTTTGAACATCAACCAATTCTACCTGTTATGACGTTTTATGGCCTTTTCAAAGAGCGGGTTGATAAGACGTTTACGAACTTAAGAAATCTCAGACCCGCGCAGAAGGAATTCAATTTCTTCGCATTCCTTGTTGTTTCGATTTTATTTGCACAGTATATCTTGAACGAAAGCTACAGCAATTCGAGATATTTTTAGAAGTTAGATGGCTGATCATACGCAGTAAATCTGAGATGATTTGCGTCGATGTTTGAGGATCTACCAATTTAGTACTCTACTTAGGCTATATTCGATTTCTTTTTATCCCTTCTTACGGAGCTGTTTGATAAGGCATTCGCGCACACGAGAAATCCTAGACGCGAATTGGAACAGCGAGTGAATTCCAAGCCAGCGAGGCCTGACATGGAGTTACGTCAGCGTTCTTGGCAGACGATTCGCGGCGAATCAAGCGAATTCCGTAAAAATTCCGCACCTGTACGAACCGCATACATTACCGCAATGCTGGAAAATTGTCTTATTTCGTTGACGGCAACCTCGACACCGGGCCCGTTTCGCAATGAATAACTTCGCATCCGCCGCGAGTTACATGTGAGTTACATGCAGTGCCCAAACACGATTTCGGTGGGTTGCGAGCGGACCTTGTGCAAAAACTCGCCGTAAAATGGTGGCCTTGAGACATGAAATCCTTAATCCCGCATCTCTCCAGTCTGATCCGTGGGAATTGTGTCAACGCCGAATGTCTCTGAATCGTCATAGCTGATTATCGCGGGCTCTGAAGCGCTATCGATACTCACATAAGTAGATGAGGTTCACTCAAGAGCAACGATGGGTCAAAACGAACGAAGTTTACGAAGACGCGGATTCAGTGGCGCCTGTCGGTTTCTTACCGGGAAAAATGAGATTGATTAAACGGAGGCGCCGTCGTGATCCTCAGAACAGCTATTTTAATGTCGATATCGTCAAGCACTATGCTGTATTCGAGCACTGTTTTAACCGTACCTCGGCAACGTAGATATCGTCAGAAGTGGGTCATTTCTGAACACCTCATACTGTTTGTATATTTCATAACAGCGAATAATTCAGCCTAAGAACGCATCTCTCATGGATGATATGCTGCATATGCATCCGAGTTCAGCAGTCCGTTTAACAGGATGTTTATGTAGCTTGGCTTGCTTATGATGAAAACTTTCCACGTGCTTCGAAGGTATGAAACAAATATTCTCCAATGAATAAAATTGAACATCTAAAAATAAGCAATGATGCAAAGGCTTTTTACAGCGTAGCTGGCTAAACCAAATAATGAATTACGAATGTTTTATAGATTTATATGTTTCAAATTATCCATGAAAACGCATCAGAAGTATCTTGAAGAAAGGAAAGCAAGTACTGTACATCAGGCAATGGAATCATCCTCACAACGCATTCTTTTGTCTGACATCCTGAACAGCCTTTGAATTAATGTATTCCGTAGACGGCTATCGGAATCTGCAAATAGGAAAGGGCTGGTCAGGTCCGCGGTAGAACACAGTGCTGTACTACAGTATGTATGTAGTAGACTAGTAAAGGACAAGAAAAATTCATTTTTCAAAGTTATCTTCCCCGATACTACCATAGAAATGCACGCACTGCCCTGACATTTTTAAGGTTTTACTCAACAAAAATGTTCCAGGTTCAATGTTGAACGTTCTACTCCAGGACATACTGACAAGAAATGGAAAAGATCTCAAGAGATACAGTACTGGAAAAAATCACTGCCCGATAATATGATGTGAATTTTTTTTAATTGTAGAGATTGCACAAAGCTGTAAGTACTGTACATTTCTCTTCCATCGGAGGGACTTTTTAAAGAATCTAATGTGTAGTAAAGCTTTTTTTTAAATTATCATTCAACGAAATTGTCAGTAGAGTGTCACTTATTTTTTTCCAAGTTTTTTACAATGGGGTCCTCTACCTGTAATCCGAGCTTTTTCCTAATGACTTTCTGAAAAACATTTCATAGCCTGAACCGTTGATTTTCTATTCCGATTCTCCTGGATTACCACCTTTTCTAGATGTAATTTTACCAAGCAGAAAAAAAGTTACGATAAGCAGATGCCAGATTCAATGTGGAGCGAAGGCTTAGAAAATCTATTTCCTTTTCTGTAACAATAAAAATTCAAATGCTCGCGGATCAAAGAGGGTGAAGGTAGATTTTTTAGTAGCAAATAGTGGAGTGGCATAAGTCAACCAGACCATTCGTAAGGCTCAAATAATCTAACTGAAGAAATTTTATGAAAATATACCAACATGACCGGGAAAAGTAACTATCTGCCATTGTTCCAACAATGCAGCAACCCAGTACAATACACGTACACACATCTTAACCTTCTCAAATAAAAATATTGAATTATGCCCACTTCTAAATTTGGCTCTTCTCTGATTTTTTTCTTGCTTTGTGACACGAAGCATCATATAAACGCTGGTGATTCCAAACAAAATGAACTATTATTTAAGCCTGTGCTGGTGAAAAGGTCAGAGTAGGGCGGATCAGAAAAAGGGTTTTAATAAAGGTTCTTTCGAAGGAATTCCCAGAAGTTTAATACTTCGAGTAAATAAACCATCAAATGAAATTTAGGGAATCAATCTATCCCTCCTGATGAGCGAGATGCTTATATTCGACGTAATTCTGAAGTTGGAAACGAGAAAGGCATGCCTTTGGAGACAATTACTGTACCTTGTGTTTGACTGCATTGCAAATGGAAGGAAAACTTTCCGGTGGACGAAGAATGAAGTTCTGCATGGAGCCTTCAACTTGCAGGGGTTGAACATGTTTATTCCAGGGCACTCGCATAAAATATACGGAAATTAATGCACCATCAATGAAGCTTGATCAATATGTCGCAATGCACATAAGCCAGGCTTCAAATTTTGTGGAGGTTAGACGCTTACACTGCATTATACAGGCTCTCGAGAAAACGGTCACGGTAATCGTACATGTGTAAAGCGTATTGTATGTTGAGACGGTCCGAACACGTATCAGAGGCCACATGCAAAATAAGGAATTGAAAAAGTTAAAATATGAAGCTGAAAAAAATTAAACTGAGAAATTGCTCCTTCTTCCACTGATTGCTCAATATATCAGCATTTTGCTTTTAATCTACACAGTGTAAGGTGCATAAAAATATTGTACGTAGTATCATAGAATCAAACAGGTTTAAGAACCATCAGCAAGAAGTTCAGTAGTGACTCCAGGTAGTTGTTCATTACTTCATATATTTTACTGCTATTTCTCGAAGAAGTTCCGCGAGCTACAGTAATTGGCATAACAACTCGGATTTCGGCCAAGCATCATGTGGCTAGGGAAACAAATGGCTGAGCAACTACTTCTTCGAGCTTTGCTCAAAAAAAACAAAACGAACAACAAATGACCAAGCCTCAAGGCGAAAGCATGTAAATCTGATATGAATTATGTACCGCCTACCAGCAATTGTTCGAGCAACGTTGAGCGCGGATGTTTTGGTCATCCGAGTATCGGAGGGGCACCGAAGTTTCTTTTCCGGCGCAACAGACAGAATACCACGAGCATTGATAAATTTCCGCCAAAAGAGATAAATTAGGTCAGCAACACTGCTCACTAGTTCAAGGAAATGTGTTGTATTCATGATTTCTCTCCGCTCCGAAAAATACGCATCCTCGAGATCGGGGCACCTCGAACCACAGAATTTCTCAGCGCGAAAATTTCAAACGAAGTTTTCCTTGTCGTGGAGCACGAACAGCAAAAAAAAAGTATGAACAACGAAGGATCCGTTGACGTACAAAATAAACGAAATGCCAGGAATGAATAACAAAGACTCGATTCAACAACCTTCATCAACACCTTACAACGCGAAGAGATCGCTCGAAATAATGTACTGTACAACGAAAAGCATAGTAACAAGAACATCAGGCCGGTGATCATGAACATATGAAAACATCAACGCTGTACCGTTCTGAAATAAACTAACAAACTTCTCTGATAAATACCCGCGAAAAAAAACTGAGTCGCACGAAAAATCACATGATGGCCACGTTCTCGAGATTAGTACGAAAAAAAAAAAAAAAAAAAAAAAATTTCTCCTGGCCAAGTTCTCGAGATAAGTAAGAAAAAAAAAAAAAAAAAAAAAGATTTTTCTCGTGCATTGAAAGAAAGCATGAAAGAATCGTGGCAAGAGCATCTTCGCAATCGAGCGCATAATTCAATAACAAAATCTCATCTATCAAACGGCCAACTATACAAAATCATAGTTTTCTTACATCACACGTTGAAGTACGGTTTTCATGGCACTGTCCGGTCACGTAGAAATCGCGAACAGCCCAAGAATCCGCGAAGTGGCGCGAACGACTCGGATCACGTCAAAATAAAACATCGCCGAACGGGAACGCGCGTATCATTTCCGTCAGAAGCGTTCATTTTCAAAAGCTTGATCGCGCGTATTCAGGTTTCCGCTCGATTGTGGCGAAAAATACGGAATCGCAGTTGAATCTTAAGAAGCGTATTCTCAGTAGCAAGCGTTTTTTTTTTCTTCCTTTCGGAAGCAGAAGCGTATCTGTTCCAAGATAATGACATCGATGAGTAAATTTGCGAAAACTACACGAATAAAAACATACAAATCAGTTTTCGCGTGTTTCATCCAAAAACAGATGGATCTGAACCGCAAATTCAAGAAGCGTCCGTTGGGTTTAAAAAAAAGCGTATTCGTTCAAGGACGCCATGACATAATTTACAAACAATACGAACATTTTAATGGTAAACTTGAAGATTCAATCATTCTGATTCAGTAGGGAAGGATAATTTACACAGCATCCCGACATTTTAATACAGTGGTAAACTTCAGACAAATAGATAGATCTTTAGCAAGACAAATAGGATTACTGCACAGCGATCAAGACTAATCGACAAACGGATCCCCTTAAAAAAATTAGAAGTGTCGCTCATCACTCGGGAATCCCGACATAAACCGTTCACTGAGAGAAACAACTGAAAAATTTGGTAAGGCTCCATCAACTGGATGAGTTTCGTCGTCAACATGAACAGGAGATGAACCACGATTCACTATTCCACGAAGCATTTCTTGGTGCACCCAAGAAGGAATCCGCCGAAAAATGCTGTACTCACTGATTTCAATTCCATTCGAAGAATTGCTAGCCTGCCGGCACAAAGTGTCATCAAAATTGAATTCAAGTATTACCAGTATAATCTCACCTGAGGTTCCTGCCATTCGATAGCGGGAGAAAGACACTCAGTTTCCTTAAGATGTGCAGCGAAGATATTCATGGGCTTGTTCCATCTACACAACATTGTTTCGTACAATGCACCATTCACTGGAGAAACTGTATCATCCGAAAACTGCATATTAAGCGTGGACATCACTGCACAAAACGTGAAAATGCGCGCCATCCATTCCAGCAATTGATCGTACGTTGTTGTGTCACTAACGAATTTTTCCAACGGCATTTCGGACGCCATTTCCCAACGAAAGCCACAAAACAATGTAGCTAAGCGTTTCATTGAACAAATGAGCACAGTCATTCCGTGAGATTCTGAAAAAAAATTATTTACAAGTTGAACCGTGTATCTCATTGATTGCACATCGAACATACCAGCTTTCTGACGAATTTGGGTAACGGCCAGTTTTCCGAGCTAGAACGAGTCAATGAAATAAAGAGAATCATAAATCTGGAGCGGATTTAAGGATTTTTTTAAATGGTAACTTTTTTCCAGTTCATCCTTTTTATGACATCTATCTGACTAACGAACCCACACATTCGAGACAAATTTTGGTACGTCCCAAAAATTAAGGATCTGAAGCACCGGAACAGAAACGAACATGAATATTGTTTACAAATTTGACGCGCGTCAAACTTCAATGTCCACTGAACGTAGTACAAAATATAAATGTACTGAAACACCGGATCACAGTCAAACTAAGATGAGTCAAATTTAAATATATTCAAGGCATGCTCTCTCACCTCTCCTACTGTCACTTCATCGGCATACTCTTCAACGAACGAATCCGGATGTCCATCGAACACAAGAACACAGCCTGCCCTTTCATGAATCTGAACACATTTTCACGTGAACAAATAAAACCGGTTTAGATCTCAAAAATATGACATACCTCGAAGTTAGATATCGGTCTGACATCGCCGACACTCGTCACATCTTCAGAAAATTCGACTCCCAATAGATAAATCGTTACAAATGAATGATTCAATCTCCACTGAAAATAAATGTCCTCGTCAATTGAGAAATACATGTAATACCAACATTTATATTTATCTCACAAGCTCATGGGTCACTTCCGGGTCATCCAGCACGACAGGGGCCACCGAAAAAACCCCGCTGCGCATGGATGCGTCATTAATTGCTTCCAGAGAAACAACCATCCCTGGCTGCAACAGTAGACTCTGTGGGAAATTTATTTGTTTAAATGAGCTTCCACGGTAAATGTTTTTGGCACTGGTTGACAGTCTTCAAGAAATACAAGATCTCATCTAAGCGGGTAAAAGATATCATCCAGAAGAATGAACATTCATATTAAATGAATGCAACATTTTTATTGCAAAAGAAGACAGAAAAATCATACCAAGCATTCATGATCAGTGCGGTCATGCTCGGCCGAGGGTACTCCAGGAAGGCATGAGCACAGGGTAATTTCTTCAACTGGAAGCCCAGGAATGCTCAAACTTTCAAAATCCATTTTTAAATGATAGACTGAAGGAAAACACGGAATACTGTAGCGCACGCTGCGCACTTTCACGCACGACTCGATTTCACGCACTATTTACATTCCGAAGGATTCAGATCATCGCGCACTCATGCGATAATTTTACTTGGAACAACTTGGCAATACACTACAGTACAAGGATACAAATTCCTGAAATATTCGTACACAAGGTTAGGTTTAATTCAGGTAATGAATTTCGCACCACTAGAAAGCGTCAATCATTCATGTATTTTTTCATCCCTCTCTGATCACTACAGCATTTATCGGCTAGTCAAATCTTTGAATGAACGACCATGTGCAAAGCGACGTTCATGACCGCAAGCAAAGAATGAACACAAAGAAATCAGCGGCTGCATAAAAAAAATGTGCGTGGTGTCGCCGATCGACGATCCCCTCACATTCTAAGGCAAATCAGGAAGGAGAACAGCGCAGGTGATTACCTTTCATTCCGTTTAATAACATACAGCAATTTAAATGAGGAAGTCCTCTAGTCCGATCACAATGCTGTTCTCACGTTAGATAACAAGTCATCCGCATAACGAGAGGCGTAACATCGTCTTCGGCCATAAACGGATGCCCGAATACATGAGAAATGCCCAAGGCTATGGCAGCGACAACGGCTTTGAATTGAATGCTAAGAATGTGAACTAAGGCGTTGGTTGTACACGTATCATGCAATCTGCCCAATATTCCGAATGGGATCCGAAATTCGCGGATCGCCCTAATCTGAAAAAGCTTTCCAAAAATAATATAGCTAACATTACCACATTTGTGAAAGTCAATTGACAAGAAACTTCCACGAATCATCAGCACCCATGACCTACGGAACATGACTCAACGCACAAGAGAGAAATTTTGAACTAGTCAACCACATTTTCGTTCTATTTGCTCTTAAAATTAATGCAGATTGAAAGCAAAGCATCAATTATCGAGATCAAAGTTACAAAAACCGCAACACTAAAGGCACTCAGCCTTGCAGCAATGGTTGTCCAGCAAGAACCGACGCTCAGGCTTGAAACATATGGCAACAAATCGGCGGGTAATCGAATTTGTCGCAACCCGACCGCTAATTACGATTCCAGTAAAGATGATAAGGACAGACGCAGTTTTGACGAACCACGAATGAGGACGCTCCATGCTGTTCGTTCTCTATTGCAGAGAACACGCTTGAAAATGTCCAGGGATAATGGACGACTGCAACATCGAAGGGCCTGGAGCTTTATTCACGACAGTACAGTACAGTACTGTATTCCATTTTCACATTGATCAAATGAATCCGAGTCTTGCTAAGCGAGCCTGTGTGGGACACGGGAAACTTTTGAAAAGCTAAGCTAATGCATCACCATGTCCTCGAAAAGGTCACTGGAAGACCTGAGGTTCGGAAAAGGACTTCAGGATGTGTCTAAAAATACCGATGTAGTCGTAAAGGAATTTTAAAAAAAACGATGTTATAGCGCATAAAAATATCAGCAGTGACGCCAGTAGACATTCATACGATAACCGGACGACAAGGATCCAACGCAATAACCCCATGAAAAAAAAAAACAACCTCGCAGAGAAAAGTAGATTCTGCATGATTTCCATCGGGACGCGATAACTGTTAGAACCCAAACGTATTTCATACGTTCACTCCATTTTACTCTCATAACACTGCACTGTGGGACCGCAAAACGCGTGCCAAACCCGTAGAGCATCCGCGTGAACTCTGCGATTTGAGGAATATTCAACTTTTCTTGCGAACAAAAATAACGTTGAACAACGTAGAACGTCGGTTGCACCACTTCACACGAGGAAAGCTCTCCTCCAACCATGCACAACAGGTCAACCATACCGCACGCGTCAGTTTCCCTGCTGAGGGCCGTCGGAATCCCAGGTTCCAGTCAAAAGAGAAACTGTTGGGTACAGGGCAGCCACCACGCTGATCACCACCATGAGAACGGGGATGACGATAAACCCTCCAACCTGGAAACAACGCAGCATTCAACAACCGCAAGCGAGAAAATTCGACTGCAAGCGGTGACCATTAATATCACCACCGCAGTTCATTAAAAGATGCACGTAACTCCACAGCAAAGCTCAAAGTGAAAGGGAGCACCACAGCTACATAAAATGTTCGTAAAATGTTGGATGTGTAAGAATTAAAATTGCGCGACGACCTTATAAAACCGAATCTCAGAAGATGCACAAGAAACATCCAACACAATTTAGCCTTGAATAATCCGTCGTTATTCAAGGGTCACTAACCCGGGGACAGCAAAACACGATTCTACCTTCAACCTTTGTAACATGCAATAGTAAAAAAAAAAAACCATAATAAGCCGTCTATTCAAAGAAAAACGAGGGAAGCAACAAAACCATCACCACCAAAATCGAGATATTCTCATCAACTAGCACGTACAGCATGATGTGCGCATCTCTATTGCATGCCGAAGTACCAGTGGGTAAGGGGCAAAAAACTTGAATACAGAAACAAAACGGTGAGCGTGAAAAGAAAACATATCTACAGTTCTGTATTGTGGACCACCATGACGGACACCGTCACTTTTTTGTGACAAAAACAAGGTCATGCAACCAAATTTCAACAGGTAGTTCAAAAGCAACTCGTACTTGCATCCGGTGGTCATGAACACTGCATTGGTGTAACTCAATAACTGACAGAGTTATACATCGACTCAATAGCCATCCCGAGAAAGAAGCCGCAAAGAAGTACAACGACTGCTTTGTACGACATGCTGACCTGAAAATCGAAAAAAGTGAATAGAGAAATATAAAAGATGCCGAAACGTTATACTGTACTGTGCGTGCTAACGCCAACGATCCGATCACCGACCAAAAGAGCAACATGGCATGAAAATTTTTCGTCTACAGTACATGAAGAAGGCTACTTTATAAGAGCGACGGGAAAAAATAGGTAGCCCAGAAGGCAGCACGGAAACGAGTTATCGACGCAGAAAGAGACGAATCAGTAGGGTACTCACGAATTCGGACTGGGTCTTCAGCTTATCAAGCTTCCGACGTAAATCTTCATTATCCCGTTTCAAGTTTACAGCCATACGCTGATATTCCACGAAACTTTCTTTCGCGCGCATCAGTTTTACTTTGTACGCTTGCACCTTCCGTAGAGAATCATACGATATACCTTTATATATTCATGATATTCACTTGAGGATTTTTGCCTTACCTCATCACTCAAACTTTCAAAAGAGGGAAGATCACTCAAATCCGCACTATTTTCGAACATGGATAGAGAAAATGCTTTGATCTCTGCTCGACTGGAATCTTGCGTCGCACAACTGAAAGAAATAAACAATGAGATGCAGAAAGGAAGAAGAGAACAAAACCTGAATTACTAACAGTGATTGCACAGGCATTCCGGGAAGCTCAAGAACTGCTCCATCGTTGAACGAACGTTGCGCAATAGGAAACGAAACACTTCCTGTAAAATTTCAAGAATAATACTCAGGTTTGAAGTCTGTACGGTGAATAATACGAAAAACGTAATACTAACGCGTAAGCTCAAGACGAAGACGTTCCGCTGTTTCCGACTGCGCTTCATACCGCAATTTGAATTCATCGGCTTCCTTCTCCGATTCCTCCAATGCTTCCGTCACTCGATTCAAATCCCTTCGAATCTCATTTACGGTTTCTTCAAGACAACGACGGTCTATGTCCGTAGCCTGAAAAAGACATCCAACGAAACATCCAGCGTTCAGTACATTGGTTCGAAAGGAACCAAGAGAACTCACTTTGAATTTCATTTCAAGATCAGCAAGATCGCTTTGCATCTTCTCCCGTTTCATCAACTCTTCCGTTAACTGCACTTTCAAAACGTCCTTTTCTTCCTCCAACTCTTTTTTTTCTTCGCGAGATCTCGCCAATAACTCTGCAGACGACCATACATAAACGCATCAAACAACAGGGTGTCGATAGTGAATGCCTTGCAGAAAGCCGTTGCATCGTTTGATCGCAAATGCGCCAAAAAGCTACTTGAAGCGCAGAAGTTCGTTCGTGTAAAATCCAACCTTTGAGTAAAACAATACCACACGATTTCGCTGCTAACGCCTGACGAAAGACGATTACTTTCTCTGAGGTGTTGAAGTCAGGTAAGTAACATGTAATGGCGAACCAGAGTACGATTACATGACGATGTTAAAACGGTGAACGTGAAACGAAAGGAAGAAAATGTACTTACTTTTGAGTTCTGCGAAGGCATCGTCAGAGGCCTGTTCCAATATAAGAAAAGGAAAGCATTACGTTATGAATGAAAACAAACAGAAAACGTGCATATCACTCACAGGAAGTGCCTTGTCTATCGAGGTAACGTTCTCTACAGTCACTGGTTTATCTTTCAGCATCGCAACTTCATCCTTCGCTTCTTTCAGAAGATTCGTCAGAGCTGAATTCTCATCTAATAAAGCGAATCAATATACCGTCATACGCCAACAAAGCCACAATCTCATCACTCACACTCCAATGATCGAACTTGCTGCCACCGTTGCTCTGATTCCATCAGTGCAGTTTGGTATGATTCTGAGAAGAGAAAAGAATACAGCTCTTTCCGAGAGGAAATAAAGACAACCATGCGCGAAATCAAGTAATTTGGACATACGGTACCCTGGTAAAAATGAGACTGAACAGTCAGTGACGCGATCTCTTCCGTGCTGCTTCGCAAACGCTCTTTCAGCTCCATCACGGATTCTTCGTTTTGCCGTAACGCAGCCTTCAGATCTGAATCCATGGACTCCGTGATCGAATCAATAAATTGATCAACTTGAGTTCCTACAAAATTTGCAAGTAACACATGCATGCATTGAAATCTAAACGGAAGAGTCGTTTGTGCAACGTCACAAAATGATACTAAGTTTTATTTATTATTTTCCTCGCCTAGAATTACAGTGCGTATCTTAACTGAAGACAACAATACTGAAATACATTCACGAAATAATCCGCTCACCCACGGATTCCGTTTCCCTATAGCCATTGACAGAAAGATCTGAGGCGCTCATTGTTCCACTCGAATCCAAACTGCTCGTCGAATTTGTCAGCGAGGACGACGTCAATCCTTTGTAAACGCTATCACTTTGACACGAAGGGGATTCTTCCGTGGTTGTTGATTTCAAGTCTTCGTCCAACAGAGAACTTCGACCGTTTATGTCAACAGCACATTTATCAATGGTATTAACGTCTTGACCTTCAATCTCCTGTTAGATTAGAAGTCGAAAGTTGTCACCGTAATCGAAGACATAAATCGGAATTTCCCACCTTCAGCCGAGCTTCCATTTCCAGCTTGGCTTGAACTTCTTTTTCATACGATTGAGTTAAGGCTTCCATTTCCAGATCACGTTGCGAGATAAGATCTTTGAAATAACCGAGGTCCTCGCTGTGTGAAGAGGCCAATCTACAAGAGAAGCATTTCTTGGTAGCGCTTCAGGTAGCCAGGTTTAAGAATGAAAAATTTTCAATTCTCACCTCTCAGTTTCTTTCAACTTCGCCATTAATTCCGCCTTTTCGTGCAAGACGTTACACAAAGTTTCTTTCGCCGTGGTCTGATAAGTTTCCTTATCCTCATAACATTTCTTCAGTTCATCTCGCAGCTTATCCTCGGTGAAGTTCTACATACAAGGAAACAAGTCTTCGATCAAATTCACACAAAGTAAGTTGATTTACGGAACCCTCACCTTCGAGTAAACTTGAAGAAGGCTCTCCAGAACTTCAACACGAGTCAACAGTCTGTCCTCATCAATCAAGGCCTTCCAATTGAGGTGCGTGGATGCACTAGTACGGGAAAGAAGATTTTCCAGGAAAACCAATTTTTTCTGAAGCTGTTCCTCCCGGCGAAGAGCCTCCTGAATCAGCATATCCAATTAAAATACCACGTGACATTAGATAAGGAACAGAAAGAAACGTTAAACGTGTTCATTCCTTTCCGTTCTCACGCAGATTTGAGAGCAGAAATCTTCAACCACTGCATTTAAGTTTCCAACATTCAAGGGAAAATAAAAATTGTAATGACCAGGTTCTAATTTACATGGAAATGGAAAACAACCTTTTCACACGATTTGTGGGATAACGAACCTGAATGCAATGGTGCAGCTGATGCATATCCTGAACAGATACAGATCCAGTGAAAGCGGACACAACAGCAGTTGAAAGCAAACTATAAAAAAACAAACGATGAAGAGAAGCTGGATCCTTCTGAAAATCTGCAATTATCACCTTGCTTTTGCTTCTTTTCCATCAGGTAGGAACAGCTTAACAGTTGCTATGATGCACCCATGAGTTACTAGAAAACAAATAAAAGGAATTGAATCAAATTTCAATGAAGAGGGTTCTTCATCATGTAGTAAATCAATTTAAGGACTTCCAAAATTATATCACTTACCTCTCTTCGTATTTTCCACGACATCGACACCGAACTGAACAATGTCACCAGAACATATCTCCCGCGGCGCGGATTCCTCAGACCCTTTGCTGAGGCGTTGATTATTCACAAAAGTTCCATTGCTGCTTTTGACATCTTTGAGGTAGAACTAACAGCGAAGGACAAAGGGTAAACGACCAAGTGCAAAGTGATTCATGGTAAACTCACCTTCCCGTTCTCATACCACATCAAGGCATGATTCCGAGAGAGAACTTTGCAGTCGAAGATGGCATTATTGGACGCAGCTCTAGCTTTTGCCACAGACCTTCCAATTTTGACACTTTGATCAAGGAGCAGTGTACGTTCCTTCAAATAAAACGATGGCAGTGATTTAACACTATTATGAAGTTCCATTATAGACACTCACCGAAAATGGGTGGGAATTTGGGCGACATATCAGTATTGCTTTCGCAGAGTTTCGTGGCGTATCTAACGAATCCAAAGGATCTCCACCATTCATGTCTACCGTTGGCTGGAAGGGCATCGTAACAGCATTTCCATTACGCAACTGGGATTCCTTGTCAATCTCTCGTCCGCGAAAGTTTCCAATTAGATTCGTCAGGGTCATGAGGTTCCTGCCGGTCTCAGAACTTGACACAACCATCGATGATATCGACACATTTAGATTGGATGATGCACCTACCCGATCGCGAAAATTTCATTCACCCCATACGACAGTTCCACCTATCAGTAAATTCATCAAGCAGTTCCCTATACGAATTGTACGAGGGCATGTTCATTACGAAAGTCTATTACAAGAGAAATGAACGAACACCTCATGCGCACACGCCCGCCTACAGACGAATATTCACTCTCACGAAATTACCAAAGAATTTTCGCTTGAAAAAATTCGCACCTACGCAGGTTCTATCGTCGTTACGATTTCCATTTTTCCTTGACCAGGACTTCCGTTACTCCGAGAATTTTCTTCTTCGTCTAGGTTAAGCGTACCTAAGGCGAGGATTCCACCCGCGCGGAAGCAATGCAGCACAGAGTTCATTGTGTTCGGCAGAACGCTGCTGATGACAACCACTTGAGCTCCGCACCAACATTCTATGCATTATTCACCATTACAGAAGTACAGTACAGTATATTCAGTACATTTACCCTTCTATAGAGCATTCACACGGCAAGAGGAATGCAGAGAAAATTCAATAAAATTTTGAAACGAATTTTGCTTCACAGGTGTGGTATACCTTTAAAGTTGCGCAAAATTTCTTGATATGTTTAGTTCTGCTGTGAATGTCCATCACATATGTCGGGTTCTTTTCAACTACAATAGACTTTAATTAGAAGATTTTGATCAATTTTGTCCCCTACCTTCCCAACTGCTGCAACATGCAAACTATGATACAGTACAGTACTGTATTTAAAAAAAATTATGTTGGCAGCAGTAAAAAAAGTAAGTGGTGCTTAAACTGTTCATTTTTTAAATGATTTGGGTGGTTCCAGCATGCCATTGAAAATGCAATTTTTTCCAATGCTGTGTTTCCTTATTAAGCAGGCAAAATATGTATATAAGGCAAATATTTTATTCTCCCTTATTGAGGAAAACTGTAAATTGAATAAATGTTTCTCAATTTTGAAAAATTCTGCAAGAATTGAAAAATTCTGCAAGAATTGAAAACATTCTTCCTATCAATTATTGCATTGTAAGTGTCATCATGAAAATTGTTCTCAACAACTCATCTCAGAGTACAATTCAGAATTGAAAGATGGTACTGTACTGTAATTGGTGTCATCAAAATGTCACCCCTCGCCCCTGCATTTTTTAAGGGAAGGGTCAACTCTCAAAATGCCAAATCTTACTTGATGGATTTTATCCGAGCGAGTGATGAGATGAAAATTTTTATTTAAGAAATGTCATCCATGAATCTTGAAATTTAATTTTCATTGCATCCTGGAGAGTTGGGATTCATCTACCGATCCCGAATTACAACTGATTCATCGCTGTAAAGGTTCCATGGAGAGAAATAGTAAAAATTTTCTCCCTGAACCTTCACTTATCAGTATCTACATGGTCTAACATTGAAACAGTCAAATTCTGCAAGATAACGTCCAACTTTCCCGCCGCGAAGTGTGCAGTACTGCTGCGTTTTATTCATCTCAACTTAGCGCGAAGTTTGAACTTGAAACGCAGAATAAACTGTAGTTGGACGGCAGGGAATCTCAGCTCGAGGCGAAGAAGTGTTGCACATTATCGCTTCGGGACCTTAATGAAGACCATCGTCTTCACCCAAGTCGGTTCTCGAATCATCGAGACCAAGCGGTGAGCCCTTCATTCATCTCAAGTGTTGCGAATGACTTTATGCACTGCAGTACTGTACTGTACATAGTTACTTGATCAGAATGCTCCTTGGATTCTGATCAACATGAGTAAACTCAAAGGGAAATTCTTGCAGCAAGTACTGTGTATATATTTGCGGTTTCAGTACCGGGTGTGAAGGCCGCGGAATCTTCGCCCCATCCTCACGGTGGTTCATTCTGACTAAGATTGTTCAAAGTGATCTATTATTGCCACTGCTGCTGGCGATTGGTCTTCGTAATGCCATAATGTACCCAATGTTGCATGCTGGCGTCGTCATGTGAAAATATTTGAAGAAATATTTTTTGCATTGTATCTTCATGTGTTCGCCATAGTCAGTTGCGTGGAAGAACGGAGTGTGCCGTCGTGTTAGCGCTATGTATGAAGTGTTTCTTATCGTGAAAACCGATAGCGGTATCTTTACTTCGTGAATCCTTATCGCGTGTTTGCTCACCAAGTTTATCCATTTCTCGTATGTTGTGTTCACCGTGGCAAGTTCCTTACTCTTACCCGATGTTTTTTAAGGCTGATCGCGTGAAAAATCACGCAGTCTTAATCTATATTATAGTCAAATGCCAACCGAAAAGATTTGCTTTATTTCATAATTTCCAAAGTGAGTTAGCATGTACTTTTTTACTGCTTTGAAATGCATCACTGCTGTACCGTTGTTGAGTTTCAATTGCTGCATTATTTATGGCGAATCGATATATTTTCATACCTTATTATCATGTTACTGCGTGTGGAACGGTCATTTCGAGAACACTTGACAGGTCTTTATATACGAAGGATAACCCGGTCCTTTTACTGAAAATGAATTTGTGTTCCCAGTTGCTAATGGTCAGATCACCGTGTATGTCTGGAAAGTTAGGGTCAATTTATTCAAAAGTTATATTAAGAAATGAAGAAACCGCCGAATGTTGACGGAGGAGAAGAGCCGTTTAATGATGGTGATGAACGGAGTTCAGCATCTGCGAAGAAAACTCGGGGAAAGAAAGTGCTAGCTCGCGTAAAACTGCTGGATGGGAAAACGCAGAGCTATTCGGTCAAGGTTAGCCAACTTTTTGCATGAGTTCTCCTCTTGAAATTTCAGAATATACCGTCAATTTTAGAAGCGATGTACTGGGGAGGATTTGCTATCTGTTGTTGCCGATTCTTTGAACTTAATGGAAAAAGACTATTTCGGCTTGAGTTTTCGGAATGCGCATGGATCGCGTTCTTGGCTGAACTTCGGCGAAAGGATTTCAAAACAAATGCGAGGTGATGTACTGTATTGAATTATTCTTCCGGTTTCGCATACAGCTAGTATTGTTGAAATAACTGTGAGGCTTTGCTTCAGGCAAGCCCTGGGAATTCGCGTTGGGAATCAAATTCTATCCTCCCGACCCCGAAAACCTTCACGAAGATCTCACACGGTGCGTGATCAATTTTTACTGCGGTTGCAATGCTTAATTTTTTTTGCAACTCGTCTGTAATCTTCAGATATCTGCTTTGTCTGCAAGTATACGACGATCTTCAATCCGGAAAGTGAGTTCAAATTCATGATAAATTTAGTGTAAATGCGATAATCCTGTTTCTAGGTTACCTTGTACACTCAGTACCCTTGCACTTCTGAGCTCCTATCGCGTGCAGTCAGAAATGGGAGATTTCTTTTCGGCTGATGATGAAACGTGGTATTCAAATGAAGGTGAACTCACCGTCAAAAAACATCCTCACATGGGTAGCAAGATCAAGGAATCCCATAGAAATCATGAGTCAGTCGTTTCCTTTCTTCTTTCAATGACAATGGCTAGAATTTCAATTCGATAATTCCATATATATATTAGGGGCCTAGCTCCATCTGAAGCTGACGGAAAATTTTTGCAAGTTGCGAAAAAATTGGCTATGTATGGCATTCATTTTCATCCAGCCAAAGATGTGCAAAATGCTGACGTTATTCTTGGGATTAGTGCCCATGGATTACAAGTTTTTCAGAACAGGTGGGAATCTCGGCGCGGTTGCTGACGCTTCCGGGCGCGTTCACATTATACGTTCATAACGTTCCTGTATTTCATTTCTTGAAGGCTAAGGATCAAGCGGTTTGCTTGGCCGAACATTTTAAAAGTTTCCTCGCATCGCAACAAGGTTTTCGTCAAGATTCGACCAGGGGCACTGGAAATGTATCAGTCCACTGTCGAATACGAATTTCCAGATTCCGAGTCCGCGAAGAATTTCTGGACAACGTGTGTTGAACATCACATTTTTTTTAGGTGCGTGCTATGCCTCTACAATAGCTAATTTTTGCAAAAGATTTATGTTGTTCTCCGTTGTGCAAATAGACTGGCTGAGCCCAAATATCCTAAAAAAGGGGTTCTCCCTCGTTTTGGCTCAAAGTATAAAGGACGGACGGAGTTGCAAACCGCAAGCATGATAATACGCAGGGCTGTACCAACGTTTGAACGCGCTGGGATGCAGCGTATGCGGAGTAGCCTGGATGGTTTGTTCTTATTCTTTTGTCAGTGGTAGTGAATAAGGTTGGGCGAAAGTTGTATGGCTCTTTCAATAAGTACTCGGTGTAAATGGAATGGTGAAGCTTGAAAAGCACAATTGTTTTGCCGTAATCCAATTTGTGACCTCCTTAACCATATGACTTGATTTCTTTTTTTCGATGGGGAATTATTTCCTATAATGAAGGATTAAATCAAGGCAAGGTGTTGAAGACGAGGCTCAGGGTAGGGAAAACACATAGTAACATTCAGGCTTCCCCATTCGGTTTTTTGAGGAAAAAGTGTCGACAAAAATGGCTTGATTCGTGTGACCGAGTTAGGTGTTGCTGGAAAAAAGAAACAATTAGATTGCCAAGGCTTCTGTTCGTTGAGAAGATCGAGAATAAATTCTGTAAGACGACATTCTCAAATCCAGGATCCGTCATTTTCAGCGCATGAGAAACGAAGCGTCGAGGAACATTCTGAGGAAAGAATGACGAGAACAGCAGCCCCTTCGGATACCCCTTCATTGAAGGTATACTTTGTGAAACGCTCGCCCATACTTCGTCAAAATGTTGTATATGTGACTCTTCTCAAGTCTGTGTTTTCTCGTAAGAATGGTGACTTGGAGGAGACGCCTCATACAGTGATGAACCTCGGAGATGAGGAACTCAGGGAGGATTCGATGAAGGGTGCTATGTCTGATTCGATTCAAGCTATGCCGCGTGAAAATGTGAGAATTCTGCGAGCTTTTATCCATTTTCGCTTCGACAGAAAAAGGCCTCTTTTGTCTATGCGTCTCGCTCTCTGACAATTACTGATGGTGGAAATGGGAATCAAGTCCGTGACTTAGAATATTTGTCCGGAAAATTTTGCCTTCTGCTTCGTCTCTTTAATTTCATACAGCTGAATAAAAAAAATTGAAATTGAAAAGTCTATATAGGGAATTTAAAAAGTTTTGTATGCCCTATTGTTTTATTTCTCGTGGCAGGAGCACAGGCAACTGTAGCAAATCATAATTGCTTTTAATTGTGATCGTGTTTTATTTTATGGTCTGTCCTGTGATTCGAACTTGAGCTTGATTTTTTCCGTCCATATTCTTAAGTAAGCGCATTAGGCTTCACATTAAACCCGTGCATTTAAAAAATACTATGTATATATATACTGCACAATATACTGCTTTTTTGACGGCAGCATTCATCTCGTCAAGAAGACCCGATATCACAACCTGTAGACCGTACACCTGCTGTTCATAATCTGCCCGTAGAGGCTGCCTCTGAGTCTTTGAATGACACTAAGCTGCCACCGGCTAACAGGATGAGGGATTCTCCTGAAATTCATGGTAATTGGTTGCTACCTAGATTGTCACTTTTGAGGCTACTTCATTTGATTTCCGCGTAAAACTGGTACTTTATTTCTCCTGACTGTTTTAAAGCCACTGAGGCAGAAAGGAAAGCGAGCATCAGCGCGAACGATTTTGTGACCAATAGAGGAAAGAGCAAGAGCGTCATGAACGATGAGTCATCAATTTCAAGAATGTCACATCCGGGAGTGAAATTAAATTTTACCGGAGCAAAACAACCGCCCGTCATTATTTCGAATGCCGGTGAAAACCTATCGTTTGACGAAGAAACTTTGAACGCTCGCGATTCGTACAGATCAGGGAATTCAGCAAATGGAAACTTAGGAACGCATCGTTCATCAGACGAAATATCATCTTTCGATTCTTTTGGAGTCAAATCTTCCACTGGAAGACTCGTTGGATTTGGGAATGCCCTGGAATCGAGTATTCCGACAAAAATTGTGCCGCGTGGAAGCATGGTTGGGAGAAACAATGCAGCCAATGCTCGTTCATCATCAGTGGCGTTCGTGGATAGATACTCGAGTTCGGATAGTTCTGAAGTTGCGCACAATGAGGAAAACTCGCCCTCATTTCGGCGACCATTCGTGATGCAAACACAAGGAACTCCGGTTGCAGAATGTAATTCTACATCGTTCCCGTATGTTACGGACGAAGAAGGTACACGTTCTGAAAATGGGACCCTCAAGAATATCGGAAATATTATCGGAGCGTTTTCACCAAAATCACCGAAAAGTTTTTCATCGTCCGGGAAGGACCAGGTATATATTTTGCGTTCAAGTAAGGTAGATTTTAAAGTCCAATCTAGTCATTTTTCATGGATTCCGCTGTATCCGTCTATAAAATAATTAATGTGATAACCAAATATTTTCATAATTTTATCAACTATTCCGTTTTGCCTTACAAATATTTCTTTCGCATTGAAAAGAAAAAATTTTAAATCAGCGCGTTGAATCGTTAATTTGAAATATTTTTTCGCTGTGGGACATTTTCGTAGGTATTAACAACGGTGTACATACCCATGGTTTAATAAATTTCAAGAGGATATTATCGATGTCCGAATAAAACATAGAATAAGATACGCAAGATAAGCAAAAAAACAAGAAAATTTCCCTTGAAGAGCGAGTCATTTTTTTCGTTTTCGAGACTCAACATCATAAGTGAAGAATTTCAATTTTTGCATGTGTTTTTCATTAATCACGGAAACACATGGGGTGATACGAGCGGATAATCGTAGCTAAACTGTGCTGTAAATAGCAAACTCTTGCGAATTTCACCTGAGTAAATTTTGATGTACGTGTCTACAATGCATTTCGTCGAATTCTGGTACTGCAGCGAGCTTCTTATGACGTGGATGAAACTCCATACGTATCTGCAGCTGCAGCTGCCGTAACCAAAATGAAGTCCACCACACGAATGGAGAAAGGAGCAAGGCAATCCATGCACGAGGTAAATTATGTAATTTGCTTTTTTTTTAGCCGATTCCTAAAGAAAGATGAAATTGAAAGCCGTGAGTCGAATTTGTTGCATCCTACCTGCTGACTGTAACCTGTTCTCACTGCGATACAAGTAACATGTTCACCATGAAACAAACGGAAAGCCCAATTATGTTGTGCTGCTTATGATCGAATGCAGTAGTGATGAAGCTGATCGAATGTACAGTAACTGAGTATAATTAGTAGTAATCGTGTCAAGGTCGAAGGGAAGGCCTTCGCGGCTGCTAGAAGAACCGGTGCAGTTGAGCAGCAGGAACACTTCATTGCTCAGGAAATGAAGAAAACTTCACAAATTGTCACCTTATTCAACCTGCCCGAGGACCCTTCATCGGTTTGTATACCTCTTCTCTTGTCTATCCCTTTTATACACGCACTACTAAATATAATACAGTACAGTATCGGTGTTTAAAGTTCTGTATGGTTCATTATAAGCGAGACAAAAGGCTCAATGCAGAAACCATCACGTTACGATTTCCAAGAGTTAGCCATCATCGTATTGTGGGTATCGGTGTTTCTGCGTATGTATACAGCAAGGGAAGAAACGTGATTTCGTTTTATTTTTTCTAGTTTGAACATTACACGAAGGCTTCTTCAAAAATGTCATGACACGGAAAACCGTAGTGCTATAATGTTCTTTCTGTATTAGCTATAATATACTCCCTCGTTTTTATAGTTCATGACGAATTTTGAGATGCTCATCAAAGATAGGAAACAATCTTGGGATATTCATTTTCTTTTAGAAGCGGCGAAGGACAAAGAGCACCTCCAGCAGTGATTCTGGGACGAACATTGACGCTTACGACGATGTTCCGTCTGCTCGCGGTCATCTATTCTCTGGAATCGTGAGAGCTGAGGTACCTTTTCCAGTTTTACCAACAATCGGAAAAAATTCCTAAGCGGCCGAATTCGTTTGGAATCGCGATAATCTAGTTGCTTTCTGTATAACTCACCGTTGACCAGCAGAGGAGCTTCTTATATGAACTACGCTTGTTATTCGCGGAGCATTTGCTGCGCTGTCAGGATGACTTATTTCAAATTTTCTCATAGTCTGAGTGTTGGAAATTATATTTTTAATTCTCATTGGAAATTCTCATTTTTTTAGAGATGCTGAAGATTCGAGGTAAATCGAGTATATGCGAAATGTTGTTGCCCAGAATTGCGATTTCAAAAGATCATCAGAAAATTGTTTTCCCGCACGTATAGTTTCTGTCTCAAGATAATTGAATTAAATGTAATCTCACTAAGGGGATTCTCGCCGTGTAGTTACAATGCGTTCTCGTGACTCATAAATGTTTTCTTTTAAATTTTAGCCCGCAATAATTTTACCGGAGACGAAGTCAGACCTTGCTGTTGCAATGCAGAGCGATAAATTATATCCGAGGCGAGACCCCCGGATGAAGATTGACATTCCAAAAGGTGTTCTTCCAAATGTTGCTGCGATTGTAGACTCTGAAGGTGAAATCAAAGCCACCGCGAGGATAGCCTCGAAGACGCGTACAGTTCAAACAGTTACCGTGAGTAAACGATTATGGCCTCGCCGTGATCGGGAATACTGTAATAATGTATTCCTTAATTGTCAACGGAATGATATTCCGTATCAAACAGTACAAAACGGAAAAAGACGGACTTCTGGAAACTCGCGTGGAGCAGAAGATAACTTTGCAGTCAGATGGAAGCGCAGTTGATCATGACCAAGCATTCGCTAAAGCAATACACGATGCAACATCTATGGATCCCAATATGGCTGTTGAAAAGATCGAAATTCAGCGAAACGCTTTTCGTTGAGATTAAATAATGGACGGTTCCCTTGGAATGTCTGCGACCCGAAGCCTTTCTTGACGTCAAATTCAGCAGTTTTAGGCTAACACTTATGGCAGCTGTTCACGCGGGTCAAGACGCAACTCGACCGAAGGTGCTGAAATGCGAGGAGCGTCGATCGTGATTTCCGCCGGCTGTTCAGTTTTTTAAAAACTTTTTCTCGGTGCAGGGTACAGCATTTTATTTGGAAAGGGGGCATTTTAGATAAGATTAATGAAAAGGATTATCTAAATCGTTTCTTGTCATTCGCGTTTTTTTCACCAGTGTTTGGTTATGCGGGCAAATACTGCAGTATAGTACTGTACAGTACTTCACAATTTGGCCAATACTTCATGACTGATGGGGAACGTATAGATTAATATTTTAGGACGCTATTGCCTAGAAAATTACCGAACATTGCAAAGGATCTTGTCGGAGAAGTCAAGCATCCATGAAACATTATTTTGGCTTTATTTTTTTTCATCATTAATGCTAAGCCATATCGCCATGCGCGTGGAAAACAATGTTGAAAACGGCAAATGATACAAGAAATCTTAATCTTAGCTACGTGAAAGTAAAAATTTGGACTGCCGCGGAAATCGGAAGACCCTCGTATTGATAACTTCGTCTTTGAAGGGATTTTATTTTAATCTCGCGTTTTATACTGTTCTCCGGTTTTCTTGAGTTGCGCGGGATTCGACCGTGCTGAGTACCATTTAGAATACGTGAAGGTAGGTTTCCTTCATTGAAGTGTGGAATATATTTACGCGAGCACTTCCTCTGGAAAGAAAACTCAGTGGACACTTGCGAAACTGTTCACTTCCGGGGATATATACTCGCGGTTCCTACTGCTGTATTAATTTTATGCATCATTCTGGCGCGTCGGGACATCAGCTGCTCAAGATTTTAAATCTTGGTTTGCTCCTGTATCTATTTTTCAGTTCGCGTAGTCCAAATTGGTCGTTAATAATTATCATGGTTCTGAGATCGTACTCTTCATCTGAGACAGGCATATACAGAACTTATCGGAAAGGATTGAGCCCGAATGCAGCTTATTTTCACGACTGCATGTTCGTCCATTTTAGTCGGTCGTAGTCTAGTCATATCTCGCTTAGTTCGTGTGCTGCATGGATTTTGTACTGCTTTTAGAAAGCATGCTTGATTATCTGTGCTGGTTGCTGCCGTGTCTGTACGCTGCCAAATGCAGCGTAATTTTTGAAATGAGGATCGCTTGTACTTGTGCTTATGCTGGTAATCCCGGTGTACGGTGTTTTATTATATGTAGTTTTCTGCGTCTTTTTCCCCTACATATAGATGTTTCCGTATTCAATTTTCGAACCGTTTGTGAGGGTAGATAATGCCACCCGTCTTTGGTTTGGCACGTATTCGAAGAAAAGGAACTGGTGGTATGATGAAAGCAATTTTAGGATCTGGTTATTTCTTTTCTGTCTTGCTCTCGTTGGTTGCTTCAATGCTGCTGGAAGACGTCTTCGGCGAGGCCATGCCCTTTTATGGAGTGCAACATTGGGTATTATTTTGGCGTCAAATCTTTTCGGCATGTATGGAGGAGACTGGCTGAAGGGCACTCTCGCAGGCGAGGGAAGTTTCAGCAGGTGCTGCCTCTTCAATAACCTTTTCAAATGTCAGCTGATTGCCATATTCTTATCGGTCTTTGAAGGTTTGACAACGTTCGACACGTTTTCAAGGTCGATGTTCACATCGGACTTCGGGGAATGAACGTGACTGTCCAAGTCCGGGAACCGGGTGAAAAAAGTCACTGGATGTTCAATGAATACTTGCCGTGGGCTCCAGCTTACGTTCGAAGGGATCTGACGAAGGAGGCGAAGCTCAGGGGGATTCCTGATCCGATTCTTTCCGTGTATGATTACTACGATGCACCAGATGAGCTCAGCCTAGGCGCAAATTTGAAGTCAGTAATCAAGTATTTCTAGCGTTATGAAGCATTGAAAAGACGTGAGTCTAATTCTTCATGACTATATAGGCAAGCAACCCAACTTTCCGAAGACTTGATGTGGTTCAGCTTTGCGTCAACTGTGTATTTGATCTGCCTACTAGCCTTTGTGCCCAGCTACATCTACATAGCATTTTTAGTGAATGGAATTTTCATGGCGTCATCGTTCGCGGTATTTTTATTTTATGATCCAATATCTGCGGTTCGTAAGATACACATACACGGAATGCCACTCGAGGTCACGTTTGGTTGGACGTCATATCTGGTTGCCGCCACCGCGATTCTCTTGCTTTTTTTTGGTTTCGGCTTATGGGGACTGCAATGGTTTCGCAGGACCAATATGCATAGTCCATGGGAGACCGATCTTGATACGCCATTTTATTGGAAGGATAAAAGTGGGGTTCCGGAAGAGCAGTTCCACTTGGAAGGAGCAACAATACTCTCGAAGCTTAGGTATTTTTTTTCAACTTTTCGAGCTCCTTTCCCTTTATCTCTTTTTCATACCTGCGTACCCTAATACAAATTACTGAAGGGATTATAGTCTCGAAAAAATCGTTTCCAGGTCTTGAATACGTATGAATATGTTACGTATGAATTTAGGCATTGCAAAGCATCCGTGGAATTGACGACTTTCCATCATGGCGAAGATTTGGATGTTTCACGAGATATTTTCGGTCCAGGAACTAAGGAAAGTTCTATCCACACCCCAATGAAATCCCCTCTAGTTGACGGTTCAAAACTGCGGCATCCTAATTGCTACACTCCGAGCACTCCTCTTGAACCGCTGGCGCCTCGTAAGCACATTTCACAACGTTATCGTGCCGGTTCTATAACTTTTTAGTACCAATTACTGTACTGCGTTCTCTGTCAACTTTTTTTTTAGCCACAACTCCGGTCTTGGGATCTCTCAACGAATCGGGAACACTTAGACGGCGCGTAGTTCCATCACCACTATCAATCGAGACGGATTCTGATTCGCTGAGTTCCCGAGGCAGAAATCATGATTCTCCTGCATCAACTCCTGAAAGCATCTACCCTTGAAAGCACTGCTCTCATAGAAATGATTCCGGTTTTATCATCCTGAAGGTTTTCTTGAAGTTGGAATTATTTTTGCGAAATATTTAAATTTTCGAGTGGATCTCCAGATGTCTTCAAACGTGTCCTGTTATTCACACTGTGCAAACGTGATGCTGAAGTAAATGGCTGAAAGTTTTGGGCATCTCTCATTTATTCTCACTCATGAGGCTTGCTATCCGCGTTGAAAATTGAAGTGGGTTCAGCAATAAGGAAGTGTTTCCTCTCATCAAATCTGTGGTTCGGTGATGCACTGCAACAAATGATCAGAGGGCACTTTTTTCAAGTTGTGTAATTTTCATGCAAGACTATCTTGAAACTCAGAAAGTTGCACTCGCCTGATTTTAAGAGCTATTTTCTCCGTGGCGAGGCCTTCTGTGAATAAACCGACAAGCCATTCAAAGATTTGAAACGCAATGTACGTATTTGAGTGCCGTTCAGGAGCCATGGTTGACTACGTAGTAGATGACGATTCTGTACTGTACTATACAGTACTTCAGGATGGTAAACATCAGGTTGGAAATACTCTACCTGTTTTGGGCTGACATCTACTAAGGCTGAACCGATAACAGGATGTGCCGAGTTTACCACGCATGCGGACTCGTCTTATTCTCCCACAAAATTTAATCTTAGGAGTGAAATATTCAGTATCGTCAGTTGTCCCCTTGCGTTCAAGGATGGAGAGACGGATTGTTTCTTCGCAAGGTTGGAAAGCCGTCGTACAGATTGTTGCAGTAAGGTGTCTTAAATTGTTGCAGACAATGCCATAGGGTTTATCAAAGCCCTGTAATTTTTAATTTGTGAGTGAGATTATTGCACCATTTCCCACGATGTATCAGGTGAGTACTTCAAGGTTTTCATCTCGGCTTACGTAATCCCTCCATTATTTACCACGTGATCTCCTCGAATGTGATGTGTGCCATGTTGGGCACCTTTCATCGTTAGAGTTGGCTGCCGATGATTTCCGACCCGCTCTTAGAAGTGTAAGGAAGAAAAAGTTCATCTCCTCCGTGTTTCTTCCGTTATTTAGCAATGTGAATCAAATCTGCCGCTATATGATCTGTATCAGTGAGACGTTTCACGTTCCTGTTCCGTCGATGTATGCGGAGAGCTTTAAAAGGAACACAAACGATAGAAAAAGTTTTGGTGTCACTTCAGTTCTATTCATTTACTTCGGTGTCTTCGCGCATATCTGTATGTTATATATTTAGTACCTCCTTGAAATTGGCATCTTTCCTGACTTCATGTGATATTCGGAAGTACAGGGCTTGTACTTACAGAAATTAGTACTGTTAGCCTTTTCCACGTTCTGAGAGGAGATAAATTACGGTATATTTTAACCTTATTACGGGTAGACTTGATACACAGTTACTCTAAAAAAAAATCAGGGGACCAGCAAAAAATTCGTTGTAGAGCAGTGTTCCCAACCTTTTTATACCCGCGAACTGGCAAAATTTCCATGAAATGTTTCGTGAACCGGCAAATTCACGAAGAGAAAAATTCTGCGGACCAGCGAAGTTTCATAAAATTTTGCAGACTCCCAAGAGTTCTGCTTGAAAGACTTTATTAGGCATTTAAAAGTTTCTGATTTTGCAAAAATTGATTCAAGCACCAATGAAACAGGCGGATAGTGGAATGCTTTCAAACAATTAAAAAAGGGGGGTTTGAAGAAAAGTTTCTCAGAATGAAAAAAATTAAAATTACCTGTATTTATTTCAGCAGGTGTGAATTTGTCTGATGAGGTGTTGAGGGAAAAGCCAACTTTTATTTTCATCAGATAATTTCCACTGCCGGTGTCCTTCCAAAATTGTAGGTAAAGATAACCGGAATTCATCCCTACATTTGATAATGTATTATGCTGTGAAGTTCCCGCGGACCGGCGTCGGTCCGCGGACCACGGGTTGGGGAACACCGTTGTAAGTCTATAGAGATTACATCCGGAAATTGTACCTCTTGAGGACAATTTTTGCCTGGAGCTCGAAGCCACAGAATTACAGGAGATGCGGGATTTGTTGTATTTGACGAAGGTAAACAGTACAGTATTACGTATACATGCTCGTGCACATGATACACCGTGACGTGGCACCGTTCATGTTTTTCAACGTGTGGGATTCATTGACATGCGAAGATATCTGAACTCGTCAAAGGACTGAATCGCACATTCATGTCAGTGTAGTGCCTCATTCTGTCAAGTGAGATGTAGTCTTACTTAGGCCTTGAACTTCCCGGTAAGCAAACATTTTCTTTAAATTACTGGATATGTCAGGTTATGATGTACAGTAATTCTGTTTCGGAACAAGCAGAAGCAGTATTGAGTGTTCGAACCTGTAAATGAAAATATTTATATTTAGTTCGATTACATTATTTTTGGTAAATACTTGTTGTCTTGGTTGTATTGTTATGACCAGGAAGCATGTTACAGCAGAACATATCGGAAAATTCCTCTGTGCTTGCAAATATTGGATGTGTCGGGTTGATGGGTTCCTTACGATACGCTCGGATTCGAATGACACTCATCACCGCCAATGCCATCGCCCAGAGTAGGATTCCGTGAGAATACTTCAAAATTTCGTACGTCTGGTAGGCAGGACAGCAAAGGTAGGGACGTTTCCAAGCACGGCAGAATGTATTTGCCGACGGAAGTTCTTTCGAACTCTTGCCTAGAATAAATTTGTTCTCCCTCCGTAAACGTTTCTCTGAAAATATGGTCATCATTCAATCGAGTAATACCGGTAGATTTAGATGAGATTTCCTCGATTTTACCGAATGCTCGCAAAATGTAGACAGAAAAGCTAAAATCTGTCTACAGTTCAATATTTTTTTCCTCCTGGATGTCATGTCGGAAGTTGCACGAATTTTAATGACGTTCTCACGCAATTCTGGAATGTCATTCTCAATACGGTAATGCCGAAAATTTCGTTGATGACGACGCGCCAGCCACATGTAACAGTTTTAGTTCAGAATTTATGTTAAACCTTGAATTGCCATTGCAAAAAATCCCTTGTATTTACAGGATAAGTGCAACTTTTTTCAGGTAAAATTGATTTGAATGCGTTTGCTGATTATACGAATGATAATGAACTCAGAACCATGAACATATTCTCTCGGAAGCGATTCAATGTAACGTTTCATTCAACGTGATGAGTGCATTCTGTATATTTCCTTGCTTCAAACTTTGTACATGTACATTGATTTTTTTTTTTCGAGGCTCTTTTTTCGCCTTGACGATGTCACTCCTGAGCACTGCTCGTGTACCGTAATCTAGTTTCGCCGAGGTATTCTTTCCAGAGAAATTATCGGATTTCAGCCTCGAGAACTAGTTACAAACATTGTCTTCCTACCAGGGACTGGTTACTGCGATCAGTTACCTACGGACATAACGCAACCCTAACGTGTGCATTTTCCTTCTGAATATTGTGTGGACATCGACGTGTTACAAAATTATAGTTGATTTTATTTCAGTAAGGATAATATATTTTATGTCATTTGTTGAACAGGTTTATTTTATACAGTACACACTAGAATGCAGAAGTCTGCATTTCAGAAAATTATGATTAATGCAATGATGCATGCAAATGTTCATTTAAAAAATACCGTAATATTGTATAGTCACCAGAAGAATCACTGTAAGGAAAATGTACCGAGCTGAAAAGTTCCTGCGGAGGTTAATCTGTTGTGTATCAGGTCTCGGTAGACACTCGTCCGCACACTTTATCTTCCTTGCATTAAACTGGTTCATCCCGCCGAGTTTACAAGTTTTGCAGATTTCCTACTCCTGATGGGATTTTAGCGGGATTCCGTGAATGTTCCCTATTTCGATCAAGATGCTGGGGCAGTACAAGTATTGTAGTCTTTCCGGTAGCTATTGCGGTTCGCCGTTACCCGGATAGCGACTTGATTTCTTCGGTGCAGATGCATGTTGTGAATAATCGGTGAAAATATTGTCTTGGGGTTACCGATGCGATTTCGTAATATTTACTGGTTTTAAACTATCGTGCTTCGTGAGCGTATTTTTTCAAGACGGGTTTTGCATGTTTTGATCTAGTACGAGATTGCGGGAAAATTACCTGTGATGCATATTTTTCTGCATTTGAATCTTCAAAGTCAAGGAGATACTATGAAACTTGTGCAGTATGACTTGTCAGCTTTTCATTTGCGTGAGGGCAGATTTTATGCGTTGGTGGAGATCGCATCGTGTTCTACCTTATCTCTTGAAATTTTATTATTCGCTGCTTGTTGTTCTTATCGCATTCGAAGATGAAACTGAACTATTGCATAGGTTTGTTCAGGGACGATGATACTGCGGTTGTTGAAGCAGTGAGCTAAGTCACCGCCCTTTATTTTTTTAATCGTTCATTCTCCTGGCAGATCTTTGGAAGGAAAGTGTTCCGCAGGAGTGAAGGTTAAACAGTAGTGGTTTTCGAGTTACTCCATGGAGGACACTGATTCAGTGGAATCCATCCGGCTGAATGGATCCACAAAGCGCGTGTTCATCCCTAATGGTTCTTCTAAGCATGATTCGACAGGGATACTTCCTGGCTTGACGCAATTCGTCGAGATGGTTAGTTCTCTCAAGTGCCCTTCCGCACTGTTGCCACCTGCAATTTTTTTTAGAAGTGGTTGGAAGTTAATGCTTTTCGTGGTTTTCAAGAGTGCAGTGATCAATTCTTCATTCAGTAATCTCACGGGTCGATTCTTCCGCAAACATCCGTAATGCGCCTAGATACTCCATTGTTCTGCGAAATATGTTTTGCCTTCTCTGAAAGTTTTGGCGAACAGTTCGCGAACGTTGGAAGCATGTGCGCATATTTTAACGATAACGACTTTCCCACTGTTTCCTTCCTTGTGTTTGCGTCCATTATTTGCGCGTTCGTGAAGATCTTGGTTGAAGCAAGTTCGTTTTTTTTTGACTATCTTCAGTAAAATATGTCATCGAAGCAACGAATTTTTCCGTCAATTTGTCGAAAATTGCACGCTGGATTAGTTAGTCGAGGAGTTCCCGTTGCGTTACTTGCGTAGGTATGGAAGCATACAAACATGTTTTCCATACCTGTCCTCGATGCGAAAGCAGTAATTTAGTCGCCCGCTTTATTATTGATGATGGGATAGTGTCTTACCATGCTTATTACGAGTGGATCATGGAGCTTTTTTCATAGTTCTGGTAATTTCTGTTCGATGTCCCGAATAAGGTAACTAATGTAACGTTGTTTTCTTGCACTGCGTTTTATAGTGCTTCAGGATGCCGAATTATTGGAAAGTGAGTCTTGCAAATCTCGTGGATGCACCGCATGTTTATTCGTGAATATCGACTCCATTACGAAATTCCAAGTTGACATTTTCTTTTAACTGCATGTGTTCTCACGAATGCGTTTGAACCGTTCTTGGAATGCCTGAAAACCTATTTCTGGTGTCCCATGTTTTTCTGTGCGTTTTCGTTTGCTAAATAGCTTCGTCTGAAATTTGTTTCCGGGCAGATTTTAATTATTTCATTTGTATCCTAGAGTACCTTGTGCGTATATGATGCAAGTTATGTGCAAGGCTTTCTCTGAAAATCTTATCTAGCGAATTGACAACGCTAGCAAAAGATGAAGATTTGATCCTCGTCAATCTGGTTTTCCCGTTCGTTTACACTTCCTTCGCGCATATCGATTGGGACTTGTTTTTACCGTCTTATGTGTGGCACCAAAGCTGTGTTTTCCGTCCTGCGTTGCTGTTCTGGAAACTGAAATTTGCATTTGAATTTCGCATATAAAATTGTTTCAGGGTAAAGTCGGCCAGGAAGACCAGAACTGTTCTGGAGTTCTATCAACTGATCTCGTCGAAGCAGATATGACATTGGGTGAGCACGTGATTCCTTCCATTCATGCAGTTTCCTTTTTTAATCCTGCATTAAAACTTGTACTAACCAAAAATCCATCAACCAACTTAAAACCAGGTTATCCTGGGAACAACGCATTAAGCTGATGAACTGTATTTTAAGTATGAGAAGATAGTTGTCCCCAAAAAGCGAAGAATGAAAGGTCGCCGTGAGGGGGGGGGGGGAGAGCCAGAGAGGGTGGATTGGGTTCTCACTGGAAACCCACCAACATCCCTTGGAGAAAACTGGATAAAAGAGCTAACTACTATTCAGGGTGAATTACAATTATTTGAATTTTTATTTGAACTCTCATTTTGTAGAAAGTAGAAATAATTCTATTTTCAATCAAAACATTTTTCTTGGAATTTTTGGTTCAATACGTGTATAATTTTTGTGTGGTTGATTTATCTCGTGGATACGTTATACTGTACTGTATTCAATGAAATTACGCTGAAATAGAAAATATCAAGCCAACTACTCTTCCAGATGCTATATTTTATATCGAAATTGCGGGTTCGGTGGAGAAATCCTGTATTCACTATAATGTACAGCACTTCGCTGTATACTCTTGTGTCCGGACCCGTGGAACCTGATCAACTAGAACATTTCAATTCAATCCCAGAAGATCTCATTGATAGCATCTGAGGTGGGAGATTCTCTGATTGTGCGTTGCATTTTATACGAAGTACTGTACAGGACTGTTCTACACAAAGAAATGCATTTTGTATCTTATGTCTTGCGCGAGATACAGATACAGTATACAATACCGTTTATTGCTCAGGTCCCATGTTATAGGGATGTTTTTCACAACTAAACTCTACGACGATTTTTTCTGGTTCGTCAAGTTTCTTTGTTAAAAAAAATACAAATGCACCTGAAATAGTAACTTCCTTCGGTAGTGGTGCAATCGCGCTTCCAGCGCATCGCGACTCATGTTAAAATCCGCTTATCCTGAAGAGTGAGGACAGATTTCTATACCAAGATGATCAGATGGGGGACGGGGTCTTGATAGCCGCGGGAACAACCCCGTAGTATTGTTCCACGACGCTGCGAATTACTTGATCCTGTTCCGAGGAATTTTTTTTATGCGTATCAATTTTACGCAGGAGGGCCAAATCAACTGCTTCCCGCGGAATCATTCTGGACTTCCTCTCCGAATGGTACTGTAAAACTACGCATGGGGAAAAGTGGCCGTGAAGCCGCCGCCCCTGTTTCTGTTCCAACGATTCTGATGCGAACTGTGAAAAAATATCCCGACGTCATTGCTTTAAGGCAACGGAAAGATGATCGGCAAGTTTTTAAGCTCATCATATTCTGTGATGTTTAATTTTTAATTTTTCTTTTGGGGACAGTTGGTTGGAATGGACTTACCGGGAGTATTTGCGTGATGTAAGACATGTTGCCAAAGGTTTCATTAAACTTGGACTCCCAGAACGTGGCGGCGTGTGCATTCTGGGATTCAATTCCCCGGAATGGTTCATAGCAGACTACGGTACTATTTTTGCCGGGTTAGTCAAATTAATTTTCCAAGAACATCGGCGTATTCATAAATTTAAAGTCTTCGTGTCTTTTTACGCCAGTTTCATTTCCTTAACTCAAGCGAATGCATTTTTTTGCAGGGGCCTTGTCGCAGGGTTATACACAACGAATTCATCTGATGCTTGCTTGCATTGCGCACTTAACTGCTCTGCGAGTATCTTCGTCGTAGAAAATGAGAAGCAGCTAGAAAAAGTTCTAAAAATCCGTCCACACTTGTCGGAACTAAAAGCCATTGTGCAGTATACTGGTGAAGTTTCCTCACCGGGAGTATTGTCGGTAGGTTCCCGAACACCTTACCAGCTTACCTGCGAGTCAATTTATTTGTCATCATCCGTATTTTTTCAGTGGAAGCAGCTACTTGAAATTGGTATTGACGAAGACGATACTGCTTTGGAGGAACGGCTTAAGAAGATTAGTGTAAATTCCGGGTGCACCATTATTTATACGGTTAGTTTTAGCCGAGTTCTAAGGAGATAATATTTTTTAAGTTTTTTTTTTATGCGTCGTTTGTGCAGTCTGGAACAACTGGTCCTCCGAAGGGTGCTCTTCTTAGTCATGACAACATTACTTTCACGGCCGGGTGTGCCATTGAGGTTGCAAATTTGACGATGCTGTCGGAGCAGGTCGTATCGTACCTTCCTTTGTCGCACATCGCTGCTCAGCTGTTCGATCTGCATCTGCCTGCTTCGATAGCTGCTACTGTTACGTTTGCTGATCCTGATGCCCTGAAGGGTTCTCTTACGAAAACCTTGAAGGAAGTCCGCCCGACGCTGTTCTTGGGAGTTCCACGAGTTTATGAAAAGATGCAGGAAAAGATGTTGGAAGTGGGAGGTCAGGTTACGGGATGGAAACGATCTCTGGCGAACTGGGCAAAGGCTACGGCCGTGAATTATCATTCCCACCGAATGTCACATGACGGGTGATTTTTCAATCTTATCTCTCTCCATTGGGTTGCGAATAAATTGAGTATCCGAGGAGTTCTTGGAGATTTAGCTGTGTATGCAAGCTGTGACAATTTCTTTGCACATTTCCAGCCAAGCCCCATGGTCTCCTAGTTTTCTTTTGGCTCGTTCGCTGGTTTTGAAGAAAGTCAAAGGAGCGCTTGGCCTTGATCGCATGAAAATCATGATTTCTGGTGCTGCTCCAATTTCCAAAGAAGTTCTAGAGTATTTCTTGAGCTTGGATTTGCCTATCCAACAGGTTAGTTAGGTCTGATTGTCATTTACATCCGTTATCCTTTAAATTCCGATTCACAGGTGTACGGTATGAGCGAATGTACTGGTCCAAATAATTTCGAACGATTTGAAGCCATGACCGTTGGATCTGTTGGAGAAGTCATTCCTGGGGTTCTTTCCAAGATTAACGATCCTGATGAGAAAGGCAATGGAGAGGTACATTTGCTGTTTACCTGAAAGCCGGATATTTTGCTCTTCCTAATTAATCTAGTGCTTCTTTCTGATACGTACCGTACTTAAATCTCAGCATTCATACATTACTTTCGTTGTATCGAAGGACGGCCGATGAATTCTTCCCTGAGTCCATTGCCGAACCGAAGCATTCTTTGTCACTTCGTTCACACAGATCATTATAAAAGGACGTTCGGTATTCATGGGCTACCTTCAACAGCCAGAGAAGACGAAAGAGATAATCGACGATGACGGCTGGCTGCATTCCGGAGATATTGGCTGTGTTGATGAAAGAAAGCGCTTCTTCATAACTGGCCGAATCAAAGTACTGTATATCTCGTAGAAGATCTGTATGAAGTTTTTCATGATGGGTTTTTTATATATGAGAACGCGTCCCTTTTAGGAACTGATCATCACGGCGGGTGGTGAGAATATTCCTCCGGTTGTGATCGAGGAACAGGTGCTGAAAGAACTACCGGTCCTTTCCAATGCCATGCTCATTGGCGACAGAAGAAAATTTTTAACCATGCTCGTAACCTTGAAGGTATGCTCGTCCGTTTTTCCACCTGATCGTATGTGATTTACTGAAGTTGTTTTCCTTCAGGTTGTTGTAGATGTGGACAGTGGAGAAAGCTGTGATGAACTTCTTCCTGTAGCGCTCGACTGGTGTCGTAAAGTCGGTAGCTCTGCGAAGCGAGCATCAGAGATTCTCAATGGACCAGACCAGAAGGTGAGATCATGCATTCGCAATGCATAGATAGTACAGTATTTAAGTGATAACGTTTTAGGTACTCGCTGGAATTCAAGCTGGCATTGATCGTTATAATCGAAATTCCGTATCACAAGCACAAAGGATCGGGAAGTGGAAGTTACTTCCGAAAGATTTTACTCAACTGGGTGGTGAACTGGGACCCACCATGAAACTCATACGTCCATCCGTTGTGGAGAAATATGCGAAGGAAATCGATGAAATGTATGCTGTGTAGATGCCGCTTTTCTTTTAATTAAAAGGGTGCTTTTTGTACTGCGGCTGTCGTTTGCATATGTTTCTCCGAAGAATAGATCGGAAGTGCGGGCCGGAGTGATTGTCGGGAACGATCCGCATTTGATTCGCCGCTGCGCAAGTTGGGCTGTGGTGTTGGCTTATCTGTACTCCTATTAAATGTGTGCATTGGAATTGGGTCGGTTTTCTATTTTTCTGATGTGGGGTATGTGTTGGTCGAAATTTGGGTGAACTATTTTTAGCCATTAAGATTTGCTGACAATGGGTTGTTCTGGAAGCTCATTTTTCGTTCTGTTGTATGGCTGTTCGTGTGCCTTATTGAAATGCATTCTGTTTTAAGCGGGTTCCGGCGTTCATAAGTTATTGTACAGTACTGTATAATATCCTGGTGATCTTTCTATCCATTTATTGAAGGAACTTGTCCAAAATCTTTGTGCATTGACTGAACCCCGAATGTCCGAGGAAATTTGGCCTATTCATGATTGTGGTCAACCTATTTCGTGGGAGGTAAACTGCAAGGTCTCATTGCTCACCAAATGCTGTACTGGTCGGCATTGTCACTATGCCTGAAGAACTTGCGAGAATGGACTACATAGATAATGATGAACTTAGATGAATGAAATCTTTTGAATAAATGTACAAGAGAAGAACAGTATTCGGAAGGACGTGTAAGGTGGGGCGGGAAATTTCTGCTGACACGATGCTATCACATGTTCAGCACATTGTTGATCCCGCATAATGTCGTCGGACTGTATACGTTAACAGTTCTGTTGTGAAAAAATTGTGTGATCTTAATAAAACTTAAACATAATATGTGACCCATTTCACATAAGTTTTGCATAGCAAACTGAACCCTGGAATGAATAGTTCTGCAATGCAATGGACTAATATGCGCTTGACATGTAATACAGTATGTGGAAATCTGGTATTACATTTGAACCTCTCTTAAGTCAAGTTTCAAGGGACCAGCAAAAAAATTTGAATTAGGGAGGTTTTCAATCATAGAGGTTTGAGCTACAATAGAAAGCAATTTTTAATGGGAAATGTAGAAAAAATTGCTCAAAATTTTAAGAGGTGGTATTCTGAGGCTTAAATTGCTTCTTTAATGAGTTGAAAGAATGCTGAACTTGTATAGGCAGGGGTTCATTTGCCCAATCAGGTCTTTCACTTCCTTTTGAAACACATCAATTTCTGTTTTTATTGCTTTCTTGTGTAAAGAAAATAATAGCGAACAGGCCACAGAAAATTTGACTTACCCAGCTTTGAAGGGAAAAGCCCTTGACTTGGAAAGTTTAGGGACGCATGAACTTTCACATATTTGTGTTATTGTGGTCAACCATGCAAGCAGCAAAGGCATTAAAAAGCACCATTGTAGAATTTTTCATTATTCATTTCTATATGAGTTTTACATACAGTATTATGAAATATCTATCCTGCAGGCAAAGGCATTGTTTTGTAATGAAAATTAATGTAACCTAGGCTATGTTCTTATTCTAGTGTGGAAAAAGCTGGGGGTTTACCATTTACTATGATTTTTCTATCTTCACTCACTATGTAAGCAAAATTCAGTACTACAATGTTGCAAAGCATGGAGTATAACACATTGTATGCCAGTTTTTCGTTATAATGCAGCAATTTTACAGTATTTATCTTATAACCACTTCTACAATATGGAGATGGCAGTGGGATTTATGAAATATCAGGTTCACACATGTAGACTTTTCTTGCCCTAAAAGGCCTAAACCCTAAATGCTTTTAACCTGAGGTTTTGACCTTGTCTAAACATATACTGTATAGGAAGATTCTTTCAAAGGTTAATCCATTGCCAGATCTTGCCACCCTGCGCCTTACCTTACCTTTCACCTTACGCTGCAGAAAATGACCTACCTCGGCAATCGGCATTGAGGCATGCTAATTTTACACTCCCTACTACAGTATAAAAATATATATATCGCAGGTCCCACAAATCTCATTGGCTGCGGCTGTGTGCAACCCCCAAAAATTGAATTTTAGGAACTTGAGAGCTCAAAAAATTATCAAAAGTAGCTGAATACTGTATTCACTCTTGATCTGTAAATAAGTTGCCAAAAGAAAAACTGCACCTCCGTACGCTGGGAGGAAGTACACTACTGTGAGGTAATGCTTTTCAAGAAACCTCTTCAGGCGCACCCTGAACTCTGGTATGGACACCCAGAAAAAAAGGGACAGAAAACGCTTCAAGCAGATGTCACTACTTCTTCAGATGTTCATTTATTCGCATCACGTGAAAATGAACTGCAGGGAGCTATGCTTACATTGCTTGGAAATACAGTGATAATTTTCTGATTCAAACTGCAGTTTTTCTGATAAAGAGGTTCTAAAAATTTGAGGATTTTTTATGGATATCACACATGAGCAATCATTCATCATCGGGGAAAATTCGGAATATCCTCATTTCTGTGTTTTGCTGAAACTCTGAAATTAAATTTGAAAAATTTCCGATTTAAAATGCACCTTGATTGTTGTTTTTGTCGTGACTCTGGTGGATTTTAATAAGTTACTTTCTGCTCCTCCCAAAATTAAACGTCTGACAGACTTTTATTTTTAGTTTCAGGCTCGGTAGGCTTTCGACTTTAAGTGAGAATATATATGTACTCTTCAAAGAAGCTTTTATTTTTAAACGCATAAAGGCCTCTTCGCCGCATATACTGTATATAGATTACTAGCTTGAAACATCTACAGTATTTGGGAACCCTTTTCCTATGCATGCAGCATACGTCACTGGAAATCTCCAGAAACGTATGCTCGGTATAGTATATATTGCATGAACACGAATATTTCACGTTCGATTCATGATGATCGACCAAAATTAACGCACTACTCTATCTTCATCCGAACGGCGATTCCACGGCAAAAACTGGAAATCTCCAGATGGGGACCAGAGTGCCTTAACCATGCAGATTCGCCTCACGCGGAATATGCAACTGCAATACTGCTGTTACGGATGCCATTTCCTGTAGCAGGTATACGAACCCAGCGGAGAAAGCGAGAAAGAATCCACGTCTTTTTCAACATAGGTAAAGAAAACGAAGCTCCCATTCGCGCTTTTCGCGTTTTGTCGCGCAGGTCCCCAGTGTGCTGCTTTCAGCGCGGGTCTCGGTCGCTTCCACGAGACTCACGCCGCCGACGAGGTCCCGCGATCACCTCCTAAATTCAAAAATCCAGCCGACAACGTATTCTCAACAGCCAGTCTTGTGAAAATTTCGCGGGGAGGAAATCGCGGTGCTTCGTGGTGTGATAGCGCTGCTGCGTGAACGTGGGTTCAAATCCCTTTTGCTCCGGGATCCTCGCGAGAAAGTGCAACGCGGTAGTGTGTGTTGAGAGTAAGTATCTGAAACACGTACGATATATCCGGACCATTCCACGGAATAGAAAACAGATTTTCCTCGGCATCGGCAGCAGTAACATTCACATCTTCCAAAAAGGAAATAGGTCCGTGCTGTCGACCGCGACCAAATGAGTATACAGTACTGCACAGTATATACAGCAAAACATTCGCCGAAAACTTGGATAGCTAGGTGCGATTTATGATGCTCACCAAACAATCGTGACATCCGTTTCATTGCTCAGCTTAGTTTGAAACATTATTGCGGGGAATGTCGAGGAACGGCAGAGAAAAGTTCTAGTACGTGCGGCGTGACGGGGAGAGGCTCTCACCGTGCTCTGACCCTGAAATAATTTAGTTTGTAGCTGCTTGGACGTCGACAGCTTCGTCGTGGGATTGGAGAGAAGAGCATGAACAGCCCAAAAGACGCGCCGAACGCCGGACGAGCAGAACATGCATACGCAGGAGAGGAGTAATGAATGGCTGAGCTGGCGAAGGATAGAGCTAAAAAAAAGTCGTTCTCCCTCGCATGTTCCCCGTTCTTTTTTTTCTGTTTAACACTGACCTACTTCTTTTTGACTCGTACGGTTTATTTCGGGAATGATCGGGACGTTTGAATCTTTGCCACGGTAGAACCACGCCGTGTCCGACAGAATACTATTGGAGAGGGGAACGCGAGGGAGTTACTCCTACGAGCCAGTCGGTCGACACGATCTAACCCCCACACATCTTACATCCGATATCCGAAAATTGAATAACTGCTGTTCATCCAGGGGACAATCAACTTGATGGATGCAACTCACGTAAACCTCGTTGCGAGTTCATATCAGTGCCGCGAAGAGCGCTGTTCAGTTACCGTTGCGCATCAGTCCTAGGTGAACCAATGTTTGGCGCAGTTTTTCGCTCGCTCCGCAGTCATCCAGGGTGTGTAACGACGTTTAGTTTGACGAGACAATGGGCCACCGTCCGGACAGGTCTTGGCTCGATCTCACTGTGGCTTGTCCGCGAGTTCATGCCAGTAACCGAGTCGTGTCGAAGCGACCGTCGGGTGCGTGCCAGCCGATCGAAAGTGATGCGTAAAGACGAAATAGGATATTTTCAGTGCCAGTGACAGTGGGATTTATGATCAAGAGTGAATTTTTCATTCCCAGACGTCAACGGCGAAGTTTCAAATTTGTTTTGGGGTTTTCTCGCGGTAGAGTTATATAAAGTACAGTACTGTACATTAGTTTTTTCCTGCTCGAGTCGCCGCGGAATACGTCACCGTTTTAGGGTAGCTGGAAGGATCGAACGATCAACGACACATTGAATGCCGGAATCAGTGGAAGGTGTTTATGGCTATGAATGAATGTGATGATATAGAGTAGGGATCATCATTGACATGGCGTCGTCATTTGCATATGCCAGGATAACCAAATCGTCTTACATAATAGGTAAGCAATTTAATGTTTTGAGAAAAAAATCTCCTCTTTCTACAGACTCTGTTTATGTCCGCGTTTTTTATTCGTGATTCCAACAAGGACAAAAACTTTCGTATTTGATGCACTCTTTTGAAGCTAATTTACAATTTTTTTGCTTGAAAACTTCTTATTTGGATTGTCTGTATATGCGTGGATGATGAGGAAGACAGGTTTGCTTTCGCTTTTAAAATCTTTGATTCCTGCTAAATGTTAAAACCCCCAATCTTAACGTTTCCATGAAAAATTCAATCCTTCTCTTCCACAAATTAGAGTATAGAATTAGAGTAGAGTATAGAGCAAAATAGAGTTTTGATCTCGCTATGGTTGGGGCTGCAGAAAATAAATTGCGATTGATGATTTAGAATTAAATGTATACGCATTGTATGGTTCGAGGGTGTAATTAAAATTCTATAACTTCTAAAATCAAATATTGTTACTGTACTTCAGTCTTTCCTTTTTGGCATTCGGAAGCCTCGAAGGCTATAATCCCACGGATGGTCCGAAGTGATCAATTTCTTCG